CAAGGAAGGGGGGAAGGGGCAAGGAAAGAAGGGATAAGGGAAAAAAAAGAAGAAAAAATGGAAAGAAAGCTTTTGTGCATAAGGAGGGGAAGAGGGGTTGAAGGAGGGAAGGAGAATGGAAAAACCAGAAGAAGAAAGACATATGCACAGGTACCCTGTGATGCAGCCATGCCGTGTCCTTGGGCTGTACACTGCACTCCAAGTGTCCAGCACGGCCCTGGACACACAGCAGGTGCTGCTTCCAGCGACACCTACTTGTGCAGAATCCAAAACTATAGTTAGAAAATGGCTCAGATTTTCAGCTGCTTTTCCCAGAACTCCAAGATCGCTTTCCTGTTTATCTTGGTGAAATGCCTGTGTTGTACTTGTGATTTTTCTGTTCTCTGCAACGCATTCAAACAAGATTGTCACAAATGAGGAAACAAGAGGTCATTCTTTACAATCAGATGTTTGACTTCCTGTGCAGAAAAGATACTCGTATGTGAATTTTTAACATTTTAAAAAGAGAAATAGAGCTCGTCTTGTGAAGGTAAACTCTCTTCGTTGCTTCACTCAACAGAGTCATTTCTTTTTTTCTTTTTTCTTTTTTTTTTTTTGTCTTTCTGAGACAGGGTCTCGCTGTGCAGTTCGGGCTGGCCTTCAGCTCACTTTGTAGCCTAGGCTGGTCTCGAACTCGCAACGATACTCCTGCCTCAGTCTCCCGAGTGTTGGGATTACAGGCGTGTGCCACCACGCCCGGCTAACAGAGTCATTTCTAAATTTATCTTTGCTTCAGCTCTGCCCCACACTCACTCTCTGCATCTTGTCTGTTTAGTGAGTCTCTGGTCAGTAGTCAGTGGCAGCTGCTTTATAGTTTAAGGAAACTCTCCCAGAAGAACAATGGGAAGCAAGAGGGGTGGCCAAATAGCATTAGGAGATGAGAATACTTTTAACTTTTTCTTTCTTTTTTTTGGTGGGACTGGGGATTGAACCCAGGGACTTCAAGCTGAGCTATGTCCTCATCCTTTCTTTTTTTTTTTTTTTTTTGGTCTTTTTGAAACAGGGTTTCACTATGCAGTTCAGGCTGGCTTTGAACTCACTTTGTAGCCCAGCTGGCCTCGAATTTGCAGCAATCCTCCTGTGTCAGTCTCCCGAGTTCTGGGATCACAGGTGTGTGCCCCTACGTCTACCATTTCATATTTTGTTTTGAAATAGGGTCTCAATTTTCCAGCGTGGGATTGAATTTTCAGTCCTCCAGCCTCAACCTCCTGAGTGCTGAGGTTACAGGCATGCGCCATTCGGCCTCATTCTTCAGTTTCTATGACTGTGTTCTTGATTAGGTTGCAGTATTCACGTCAGTGCCTGGCATTGAAGAATACAACCCTGTGCTCACCCCAGAGTAAACCTAGACACCAAGTGCTACTGATCTTGTCATCTTAATTATCAAGAGGGATACTCACTGCCTCAGTTTGTGTCATTTTCCTGTAAAATGGGCTGGATAATAGTTCCCACGTCATAGTATTATAGACAGGTAGGTTAGGTAGAAATATTAGAGGCAGTCATCCAGGGCTAGGCCCTGAAAGGAGTCAGTGCAGAAGATGAGACCACCTCACACAGGTGGCTGGAGGTACATTTGATGAAGGCCAGGCCTCAAGACAAAGATGGAATGACTACACCTACCTCCCCAGGGATAAACAGTACCGATCGATATTCTAAATGGGGATCAGTCACCTGGGTGCAGGACCAAGACCCTGACCCATCTCTTCCAGGAAAGGTCCTTGTTCTTTCCATGCACACTTGCTACGTGACTTGCCTCCTATTGGATCAATATTACCTAAGCAACTACACTTGGGTGTTTTGTTTTGTTTTGTTTTGTTGCTGTCTTTTTGAGACAGGGTCTTACTATGCAGTTCAGGCTGGCCTTGAGCTCACTATGTAGGCCAGGGTGGCCTTGAACTCACAATGATCCTCCTGCCTCAGCCTCCCAAGTGCTGGGATTACAGATGTGCACCACTATACCCGTCTATACTTGTAATCGTATTGGTTGATCATAGTTTTGTCCCATCTTATACCTGCCTTGTAACTGCTCTATAAAACTGCCTTTGTGAGCCGGGCTCTTAGGTGACCCGATTTCCGGGTCCCCTCTGTCTTAGGCAGAAGCTATCTTTCCCTCAGTATTTCTTGTTCTTAACCCCCGGTGCTCCTTAGAGTTCATTCTTTGAGCCAGGCCTGGTGGTTCAAACTTGTAATCCCAGCACTCTGGAAGCTCAGACAGGAGGATCGTGGAGAGTTTGAGGCCCGCCTGTGATACACTGTGAGATCAAACCCAGCCCCTGAACTACACAGTGAGACCCTGTCTCAAAAAGAAAATAAAAATCATTCTTTGATTTTGGGGAACACAAACTCAGTGTATCAGACATCTAGCAGGTTGAGTTATATTTCCCTTATCTTATTTGGATTATTTGGAGGTCTTATATCATTACTATATTGATAACATTGTTTGAGGATTAAATTAGTTAATATTTGTAAAATGCTTAGAACAGTGTTCTAAGTACCCTGTGTTTATAAAATGAATTCGTGCAGAGGTGTGAATTTTCTGTGCACACCTAAGTGATGACTGCTACAGTGCAGATGGAGGACTACAACCGCCTTGGTGCACTTACTGTTGGCCATTACTGTTTGTCCTGCCGTCAAATGGGATGGTGAAATCTCACACAATGGGAACTAGCTCACGAATTACTAAGCCTGAGAAGTGGAAATGCTGAAATTGCAAATCTTTGGAAATATACACACACATGTGTATATATGATTTTTTTTTAATTTTTTGAGATAGTCTGGGGCTGGGGATTTAGCTCAGC